TTTTTTTTTTTCGTGTTTAGTATCTGTGAATAAGTCAGATGAAAATATAATATTAGAAAATTGTTCAGGTGCAAATATCGAAGTAGTACGTACTGCTTTTAATCTTCATCAACAAGGTTTAATGATGCCATGGATCTTTCAATGTCTTTATAAAGTAAGTTTTGTTTTTGTTGTTATTATTAGTATTTTCTTTTCTAAATAAAATATTTACAAAACAATAAAAAAATAAACATTCTAGCATGAAATAACATTTCCTGTAACAATTGAACCTGAAATGTGCAATACAATCCCAGGTGTATGTGAATTTTTTCGTCCAATACGTAAATATCTTTATTCAATTTTATTTGATAATAATACAATTATACGTGAACAAGTTTATAATAGTGAACATGGTTCTTATTTAACAGAAATTGTTTGTGAACAATTATTATTAAAACATACAATTGAACAACTTTGGTTTGGTACAAGTCCCGATGAAGATCGTCAAATACGTATGAAAACATTTTTACAATCATTATATTATTGTGATTTACCAAAAATATATTCAATATCACATGATTATCTTATATTTATATGTATATTACGTTATATATATATGGAATTTTTTCGTTATTCATCAACATCAGCTATTTTACATACATATGAATTAATGGCATTTATTTCTCAAGCTGTTTTAATAACAGAATTACAACCAAAACCATTAATGAATATACAATCAATAAATTTTTTAAATCAATATGATCATATACAAATAATAAATTATGAAACACGACCAATACAATTAGCACATTTATTTATGCGTGGTTTTGAAACAATTTTATTTGCTAATGAAGTATGTGGTGCACCAATACATCCAAAATATTGTTGTCCATCACATTTTTTTAATGGAAAATTATTTCATCAGAAATATTTACAAGCTCAATATTATCAACAAAATCAAGATTTAATGATTATATTATGTGATGGAAATGTAAGAAATGTATAGAAGATATTTAGTTGGTTTTTTTTTGAATACTGTTATTGATACAGTTTATGTAAGAAGTCACGCTACTAGGGAAAAGGTACATTAACTTCAATTCTTTTGCCTGATATGATTCACTACAAACGCACGTCTGTACTGTGTGACGAACAGAATGCTTCAATTCACTGTAATCGTGAGTTGTAATGAAGTCTACACTGTCTTGAAAAGCTTTAGCACGGATTTTCTCTCTATTGATGGCTGAAACCGGGAAATTTTCAGGAAAAAGTTTATTGAAGCAAGATGCTTACTGGAGAAAATTTCGAGACAAATGGTTGAAATTAGCCGAAGTTATGAGTCTCTTTTCGATGAATTCTATCAGCTTTTGTGCGCCGTGATTACTCAAAAATTATTTTATTAAATAGGCAAACTAAAACTGTTTGATATGAAATGTTTATTGGTGATAAAGACAGCGCTGAGCTCTCAAAAAAAAAAGATTAAATGCCATGAGATTTGTTTCCTGTAGTGAAATATTCTCGTCTGAAAAAAAACTTCTATGTTAATCTTCTAGCTCTTCCATATAAAAGCCGATCAAGTTCTAAATGGCTATTGCGATCAGTGTTCGACTTATTCTATTTATAATCAAAATATGAGACCAAAGGATTCAAGTTTAGATATTTGTTTTTACTGGTAGCAGGATTTTTTTTGTGACGAAACAAATTATTGTAGAATGTTTTGTTTGAGTTCACTGTGAAGTTTTCGATTAAAATATTTCACAATAACAATTTATGTACTCCTTACACTGTATAGAAGGCTACTTCGATTACAAATCATAATCTATTATTATTGTTAACTTTCAATTTTAGGCTCATTTTGCTCAAATCGGCTCACATTTACTTGATATTATACTCGATCGAACAACAAATGATAATATTCATCAGACTCCAATACAACAACAACAACAACAACAACAATATCAATATCCTGCAGTACCACAACAACAGCAACAACGTATTTTGAAAAATCCATCTCGACAAGGACGTACACAAATACTTGTAGCTAATTCTACACGTCCACCAATGCGTACTAATAATAAACAATCAATAGCAAATGAATTTAATAATCAACAACAAACACCAATTTCAAATTATCGCCAACAACAGCAACTATTGCTGGTTAAGCAAACTGGTCATATGAAAAATACTGGAACTAAAAAGAATAATAATGGTAATCAAAATTGCTTTTAGTTTATATGAAAAATTTTCTTTTCCTATAATTAAAAATTTGTATTTATTCTTATTTTTAGTTACTCCATTCAATGCAAAAAATCATCAACAATCAATGAAATTTAACACTCATATAGCAACAAATATGAATTTTCCTACACTACCACAACAACATCATCCATTATCTACTGATCAATGGACTGCTGTAACAACATCAACAATACCTTCCAATCATTTACACATGCAATCACAACATCAACAAACTCATTCAATACATAACATACAACCTATTCCTCTTCAACATCAACAACCAATGAATAATAAGTAAGATATTATTCGTAGTCATCTACTAAATCAATAATTTTTCTTTTTATACAGCCTCTCTATCACTATTGAGGGAACAGAATGAATCAGTTAAGAATGTTTGTGCGTTAGCTTTGAGGAAAGAAAAATATAGCGGAAAAACAAAATCAAGAATTCTAAGTCAAAAATAAGTTTTCATTCAATATCGAAAATTCAAATATTATTATTATTTAGTTTTATTAATCCTCTTGATGAACAATTCGTTCATTTTCAAATTCATCCACCACCTATTGCAACAACACCAGCACCTATTCCATATCCTCATCCAACACAAATAATAAATCCTCATATTCCAATGGCACAATATAATCATCTTCATCCTTCACCACTACCGCCACCAGCATATACTATTGCTAATGGACCAACATTCTATCAACCATCACCAACATCAACAAATTCTTTTCAACAACAACCATTAACAACACCATATCATCCTCATCATCCTCAAATGTTACCTGGCGTTCCACCACATGCACCTATTGCTCCACAACGAACAGTTAATTTTACAACAGTAATGTCAACAAATAATACTAATACAAATACTTATCAACAACAATCACAACGTGTTTCACCAACTTCAATGCAAGCACAAGAATTGAATATACAAGCATTACAACAACGTATTATTGAACAACAAAAACATCAGCAAACACCTATATCAATTCAAAGACAAATGAATAGATTACATACTAATGATTATACTCAGTAAGTTACATTAATTATCTTTTTTTGTATTAAAACTTATTTTGTTTTAGATATGATGTTCATCGATCAATAGCAAATAATGGAATTCCAATAGCTGTGCAATCATGTCATCACCCGTCCATGATCGCCGAACATCAACAACGATCTCATGGCCCTTGATATGTGGAACTCTTCTGTTTTTTTTCTTTTACATTTTTAAATCAAATGTTTATCTTATTATTTTTTTTTAATCATCAAGAGGTCTGTGAGACATTTCTAAGAAAAAAAAACAAAACAAAAGAAATATTTCAAATGACGATTCTAGTTAGATATTAAGATTAGGTGCGTTAATATGACATGCACATATACACAAACATATATATGAATATACGGAGTTTTTCTTTTTCTTTTCTTTTCGATACATTTTTTTTTTCTAGTACTGTTTATTAAAAAACAACCTCGGGATTCATTATATAACGTTTAATAATAAAGATACTACAAAAAAAAAATTCGTTTATTGTTTGTTTGTTTGTTTTTAAGATGATTTATTTATTTTTATCACGTTCATTAGTATGGCCATTGAATATATTTGGATCAAATTTAAATAATAAAAATACATCGATATTAGATGATGAATATCAAAAAAAGAAAAATCTTGATGAATCACCACCATTAATTTCAAATAAAGATCTTGCTAAAAATGTTGATCTATCGAAAAATATGGATCATACGAAATCTTTAATTGATAAAGATAAAATATCAATACTTCCATCATCAAATATTTTATCAGTATTAGGAAAACATTATTTAACAAGAGAAGATTTAGAAAATTTAATACAAACTCGATTTAAACAAGAAACTCCACGTGATCGTGTTGTACGATTTCTTTGGAAAGAGTAAGATTTATTTTTCATTATTAAAAAGGAATGTTGAAATCGAGATAGAATTAAACATTTAATATACATCAAAGACTATGATTGCATTAGTATTATAAATGAATAACATTTAAGTAAATGCATTAATAAAAGTTCATTTAGACACTAGATGAGCAACAAATGCAAGGCTTCTTATTGTTTTTGAGGATGAAAGGAGATGGAAATTCTGAAGAAAGAAACCTGTGATAAGCACCATAAACCATTAAGATTCTTTTTCTGTCATAATTTTTCGCGAGACTGTAAAAAAACAAAGTTTGTAGAAAATTTAAAATTTTCAGGAAGGAAAAGTTCTCGCCATTTCCTCCCTAATTGGTAACCTTAAACTAGGTTACTAAAGTAAATATCTCTAAACTATATATATATATATAAAGAGTTAAAGTTTTATTTACTGTTATGTATGTAGATGATCAAAATAGATTTAACTGAAATTGGCATGAATGCCGAATGATTGTATTAGTTAAAAAACTTAAAAGCTAATTTTTGTTTTGAATATACATGAACTAAAATATTTACTTATTATTTTTTGTTTTTAGTGAACTGAGTCAATATCCAATCTATGCAAAAATAAAAGATTGGCAATGTACTGCTATTGCTATGGGTATTGGTTGTCTATTTGGATTTAATCGAAAAGAAGAAATGAAACCTGTTTATATTCGTCAAACATCTATGTTAAAATTTCAAGATCGATTAACGGCTGAGGTGAGGAGGTGAGCTTAGCTCTATTTAGAATTTTTATTTTTACAATATATATATATATATTTATATTATTGTAGAGGGCTTATCGACAATTTAATGTTGTTATGTTTATGAAAGAAGCATATAGAGTTGCATTTCTTGTTCTATTTATTACTGAAACAATTATGTATGTATTTGTTTTTACAATAAACAAAATGAAAATATTCTATTTGAAAATAAAAAATTATTTTATTCTAGGACAAGTCAATATGCTATTGAAGCTTATCGTAATAAATCAACAATATATGATTGTATACCAGGAGGAGCATTAGTTGGTTTTACACTTAAAATGTTTCATAGTCCATTGGCAGCATTTGTTGCTACGATACAAGGCAGTATTATGGGGTAGATAATTTAAATTTAAAAATCATTCGAAATAAGAAAATAAAATACAGATATAATAAGATTAACATATGATAAGAAGGTGCATGAGTTGTTTTAAGTAATGAATAAAGAATTCAATTTCAACGGAGAAAATCTTCATAGATGTAAAAGAAAGTGTCAAGGCAATTTTAAGAAATGATTCATACTGTTAACGAATTATCGAAAAGTAATTTGAGATCATGGTTCGTTCATTTTTCAACTTCTTAAAGAAGTTTGCAGAAATTTGAAAAAAATTGAGTTAGTATCAAAATTTTGTATTCTTTTCGAGTATGACTTTAAAATTTTTATAAGACTTCTAATTTAAGAGAATTATAAACCGATGTTTTCAAGGTCCATGAATTGAATTTAGGCGAGCTTCAATGCGCCAAAACTTACTCATAGTTAGAAGCGAAAATTATTTTGAATGCAGCGAATGAAAGAGTTAAGATTTTTCTATCAAATGATATTATTAATAATTAGTTTGCTTCAAGTCATTTGTCAACAGTGAATAATTTAGTAAGGCATAGCGTATCAATTTTGGGAGTTTTCTCGACTTCTATGGAAAAAAGACTTCTAAAGTCAGCTCAATCATTCCTGTATGACTGTTCTGAAACCCTTGATCCTTATATGACTTTGTAGCGAACAATCTCACCTTTGAATCTATGCAAAAAATTGGTAATATAACATATGCAGTAGAGGGGACTATTGTTGCAAAAAACGTCAATTTTCTCCATCGCAACTTACTTTTCGCACCTTTAACAGGTCGACTGATTATTTCCAGACCAAAACTCCTAGAGAAATGTTGAACATATATTCAGAAACAATACAAAATTTTGATTAAAACTCAATATTTTAAAATTTCTACCGCCTCTTTTAAGTGACTGAAAAATGTTAATACTTTACTATTCATACGTTTTACAAATAGCAGTCTTTCTTACATCAATTTGCTTACGTTAGTCAAAAACATTTCGTTAAAATTGATTTGGATAATGATCAATTTTGCATATTTTTTATTTTTGTTTTATTAGATTTATGTATGGTTTTATTCATAATGTTGGTTGTCGATTAATAAATCGTACTTATGAAGATTTACATTATGAACAAGTTATGAAATGGATCTTACATCGAGAGTAAATCTTTATGAAAGAAAACAAAATGATTGCTATAATTCTATTTTTATTCTATTTAGAAATGCTGAATTATGGAGTGCTAATTTAGATGAATTACCACCAAATTATATGCCACAAGAACCAGAACGTACGTGGGGTCTTGGATGGTTTAAACGATAGAATGAGAGTTTTTTGTTTTGTTTTATTATCTTTGTGAAAAAACAGTTTCTGTGTTATAAAATGAATACACATAAAAATATCAATTTTACATATTTCTATATAATTCTTTCTATAATCAAATAATATGCATTATACTGAATGTATGTTTAAATATTTATCAAGTTGTATGTTGTAGTTAAACCATGCAGTAAAATTATAGGTAAAAATAATGAAAAAATTTCACAACTTGACTAAACTGACTGTGATACCCTTATTGAAATAGATAAATAATTACTTAAAATGATGATAATAAAAATGACTTTAATTAATGAATTGTATGCTTTTATGAAAAGTTATTTTGAAACATTTAAGAACGATTGAAATAAATTAAAAATCAAACTTGATGCTAATTAATTAGGTTTTACAGAAATATTAGAAAGACATATGTTCATTGGATATTTTGATTATAAAGAAGTGTGCTTTTTGAACAATAGGTTAGATCTTACCAGTGAAGATTCTAACGAATATGGTGATCGAACAGATGCAAATCAACGGGGAAACATCGTACTTTTGAATTTTAAAATACATGAAGTACGTAAAGTATTTTAAAATACCTTAAAGTATAATAAAATACATTAAAGTACGTGAAGTACGTAAAATACAAAAGTACGATGTTTTCCCCTTGCTTACGACATTGTACCTTGGTTGTAATAAAATAGGTTTTGAAGGAGTACAAGTTTTAGCTGACGTATTACCGAAAAATACAATGAAATAAATTTTCTGTATATTTTCTGCATTGATATTGATCATTTAATACAAGATACTTACAAAATTGATGCTTGAACTCGGTGACATTGGTAATTGAGGGAAGAAATATTTAGCTAATGCAGTAGAAAAGAATAATGTGAGACCATTTCAATAATAAGCTTTTTCATACTGATTTTGGTCGCATAATACAGACTCCCACAACGCTAAATCTTCAAGAGAACGGTGTAAGTGACGAAGGAGCAGATTATTTGGCTAATGCATTACAAAATAATGTAGGGAGAAAAGTTCTTATTTACTGACAAGTCTCATATTCATTTTAACTATTCTAAATAGAAACTAAAGGCATTAAATCTTTCAAAAAATAAAATTCATTTTCAAGGAACATTAAATCTAGTTAATGCATTAAAGTATAATATGGTAACATTAATTCTCTGTCTGTCTATCTTATATTCACGTTTATCATAACACGTAATATGTATCAATCAAATATAGAAACTGAAACGAAAGCTATCTTCGTGTTATATTTCAGACGTTGAGAAAGTACTTTGAAAATATTACAATGTAGTAATTCGTTTTTATTTGTTGTTCTATCTCTACTCGAAAGTAATCATCATATATACGCACAAATCTAAATTGTAATTGAATGATTATTAGAAATTACATTCAGAATGAAACCATATTTAGTCGCTCAAAAAATCCTTAATAATGCAAGAACATCTATTATTATTTCTTGACAGAAACTATGTATGTAACGCATAAATATTGGAACAAATTTATGAAACAACGATGTAGTTCTGTATTTTCTGCATGGTATCTATTTATTGTTCTGAATATCACTATCTGATGGATAGATGTCGTTCGTAATCATATATAACAGGCAAAATTTTAATATTGATCACAATTTGTAAATTAAATGTTTTTATTTTAAAATGAATATATATTATGTAGAAAATCTTGAGTTATTCAAAAAAAATTAAAACCTTCATCTCATCAGTTGTCATGGAAAAAACAATATTGAACATTGTTATGAAGGATAAAAACCACGCAACAAGTCAAACGATGAGTTATTGATTAATCATAGGTCTTTTTTGTTTTACTGTTTTAGAATTCATTGTTTCTAAGCATTTTTCTTTTGTTCTCTATGGAAGACGATAATCTGATTCTTCTTCTAAATACTACAAATAACTTTGAAATCACTACACCTATTCAACAAAAACGTGAACCATTAGTTGAAATAGCTGATAATGATGATCATGATTCAATAATAGCAATGACTTGTTTAAATGATCGTATTCCATCAAGTAGTTCTAAACGTCATTTCGATGATATTAAATTAGTTCGACCATCATCAGCTACAAGTCAAGGTTCACATTCAAAAAAACAAGAAAAACCTATGCATTATGCACCGCATTTAACATCAGGTGGAAATCGTAATTCAAATGATAATTTAATTCAATCATCTATTGATGTTACTTTATCATCGAATTCATCACCTGGTGAACGACAACAACGGCAACAACCACCAATTGAAGATGAACTTGATATTATAACAATTGTTGGTCCTGAAGATAATGGAGAACGAGAAAATGAAAATCCAATAGATACAAGTAAATATTTATAATTTATAATATATTTAAGAAAAATTTCAACAATTTATATTCTCGATATAATTTTTTTTTTTCTAAATAGATTTTACTGATCCATTATTAACACCATTAACTTTACCAAAACCATCAATACCATCTCAAGTACATTCAACACCTGATATTCAAATATCACGTTTTGATAAAGATTCAACAACATCAAAAACTGCTTTTGCTCGTTCACAATTAGCTAAACGTTTTTCAATAAATCAAGGACAACAACGTTCTATACCAATTCAATCACTTTCAAATACAACAAATAATGATTTAACATCAACAAGTGAACAACAGCAAATAACTACATCTCTTGCTGCAACGGTTGCTGCATCAGTAGCTGTTTCTGTTGCTCAACCATTTCTTAAATTACAAAATGACTTCGAACAAAGAATGAATACTGTACTTAATCAAATTCAACAACAACGACAACAACAAAAATCCTATATAAATGATGTTGTTATACCTGTAACACATGTTCAACAAACAACTGATACTAATAAATTATTAAATGATTGTGTTGATACACGAATTAAATATATGGAAAAAGTACAAGAACAACAACAACAAACACTTAAACAACTTGCTGATCTTGTACAAACAAAAAAATCTAAATCTAAATCACCCGTTCGAGAACATATAATATCTAATTTCGAATCAGATACACCACAACAACAACGTCATTTTCTTGATACACTTGTTGGAACATCATCACCACCTGTTCGTCTTACTAAAACACATAAAAAACAACATACACATAAAAAATCTACAACATCACCATCATCAAATAAACGTCCAAGTCGTGTTACTGGTACTAATATACGTACAGTTAAAATTCGATCACCAGTTACATTCAAAGAACAACCACCTAATAGTCATTTTAATATTGAACCATCACTTCCATATGATTGTTCAGTATGTGATCGATCACGTTCTCGTTCTCGTTCAAGATCTCATTCACCAACAAAAGGTCTTTCACCTAATTCATCTTATCCTCGACCATATGTTCCTATTCCTCGACCACCATCAATAATGTCTGATGGTTTTATACCATCATCAACAATAATTGGTAATGCTTTACAAGAAACTTATCCACCATTTGATAAATATTTAAATAATTCTATTCCACCATTACCACTTCAACCAACATCTATTCCATTAATTGATGATAATCTTGATCTTCATGAACGTATTAAACAAATAGATGAAGCAAAAAATTTATTAGATGAAAATTATTTAACATTACAACGACGTCAAAATGATGTTACTCTTTTAAAACCAATAACAGATGATTCATTACGTGTACAACGTCTTGTTGAACAATGTGTTAAACAAGTTACACGACAAGTACATGAAGAAGTTAAACTTAAACTTGAACAAGATGATATAGAAAATGAACAAAAAAAACCTATAATAAATACAAAAAAACGACCAACATCAAAAACACAATTAGCTTTTGATCGTCATTCAACAGTACGTACAGGACAATATACAAGTCCTATTAAAGAATCATCAACATCAACAAAACCTTATAGTGATGCATTTATGGAAGCTGTATATGGACGTTCATTATATGAAAAAATTAAAAAAAGTGGTAAACAACCATATTTTAAATTAAAACAACAAACTATTCAACAAGCTAAACAACCAAAACAAATTGAAGAAATACCCGTAAGAGATACTGGATTAGTAAGTATAAATTATTTTTCATTGGTTTTTTTTTTTTTTTTGGATTAAATTTTATTTTTAGAAACCTTCACCATGCATATTTGTTCCTCCTCGTTGTATAATAGAACAACCATCTACAACACTTCCACCACCACCACCACCACCTGTCTATGAACCACAATATTATACACGTCCAGATGGTGTTATTCTTCTTGGTCCACCACAAATTCGTGATACACGTAGTTTTCAACCAACTTATATACCTTCTGCATGTAAATTAACACCACATATTTTACCTAGTGTTGATATTGATCCATCAAAGAAAAAAGTTCGTTTTGGTCAAAAAACAGAATCAATTCGAGTTGATTTAGATGGTAGTGATGAACAAGAAGATGATGATGATGGACAAGGTATTGAAATACCTGGTTATCATGATAAAAAAGATGATCATCAATATACATATGATGGTCCAAGATTTCCACCAACAATTCCTCATGATGAAGGTTATCGTAATCGACAATATGATACATTACAATCAGGTGCTATTGATTGGTTAGAACAAGAATTAATTGCACGATTTATGAGTCAATTACAATGTCAACAAAAAACTATACCTATAAAACAACATCGTGATATTATAAGTGCACGTTCATCAACAAGTTCAAGTAGTGATGATCAAAGTCTTCATTGTCGTTTACTTGATTTACTTGGACAAGATGGTTTTCAATTAATTATTGATATGGGACAACCAATTGATCAAGATTTAATACAAGCATTAACACGTGAAGTACTTGAAGAACGTATTACACAAATGATTGGTTTTCGATCACCAAGAGAAAGTATACATGTATTACCACCGCCTGCTCCACCACCACGTATAACAACACCAACAACATCAACAACAGTTTTAATTGATCATCAACATCATTGGCCACAAGAAAATAGTGT